GTGCTCCCCTGAAATTAGAATACTGTCTTCAAAAGGATCATTACCAAAGGGTATGCCTGCTATGAAAATCCAATAATAGTCAAATTAAAAAAAGAAACACAACACCCCTTAAATGCCAATCATTTTAGGAAGTAAAGGAGCACTGATAATACTGTGTAGAGTGATATGTTAACCACTTTGTAAAGTGGGGTCAAAAACAGAGTAAGACTAGTGATTAGTGATGGGGGGAAGAGGATAAATATGAATAAAAGAGGGAACAGCAGGAGGGATGAGTCAGTTTTGGCTAAAAGTAAAATGAAAAGACATCAATCAGTAAACTCATACACCCAGATAATCTACAACCATCCAGATCTCAGGAGACTGAGACACTGAATCCCTACAAACCAGGAAAAGTCTGTGCTCTTTGAAAAAGGAAAAGATGGAGGTTGAGGACAAAAGCAAAGGAGACCAGAGCTATCTGCTAATCCGACACTAGTGTTAAATAAGGAAGACTAAGGAAAGAGGAGAAAGCCAAGTACAGGATGGAGTCTGATGCAGTCCAGCCGGCTTGCTAGTCTACCTGTTTTTTCTCTGGCTCACAGAGGACTGTCACACCTCTAGACATCCCTTTGTAAGGTCACACCTATGGACAACCCTTCAGGAGTCCAGCTATCAGTGCTGGCCTATCCCAGTGTAGTCCATCTCAATGTCCAATTTGCTGCTTGGAACTTGGGTCCATCGACATTCCCCTGCAGACTCTGCTCCAACCAAGTTTCCATCTCACCAAAGACTGCATAGTTCTGATCGAAGTTTCCACCTACAGTCTAGAAGCATTCTGGCCAGGTTTCAGCATAAGGTCCCACGGCATTTGCTCTGAGTTTCCCAAGAGCATGGTTCAAAGAGGTCTCAGGCACCACAGCCACCAAGATTGCAGAGGTCTTTTTTAAATGGCATCCCACAGCTGCCCAATGCTGGAAAGAGACTTCTGGAATCTCTCCTCACTCTGACAATGTCACTCTGCATCCCTGGTCTGGCCTCTTCCTCTTTCTCTGCACCTTAAAATGCTTACCACTGAAAGTCCAAGTGCAAATCTTCTGAGCCTTTCTGTGTTAAGCCCTGGCCCTTATCTTTTTTTTCCTCTCACTAGAAGTGGAATCGCTCCTCAAACCAAACCAATCCCCCCAGGACTTCTTCTCCAGCTTTAGAAAGTACCCTATTTTACTTCGGTATTAAAACTAGCGATAACTAAACATCAGCACTTCCAGAGCCATCATCCAGCTTCCAGTGTTTTGCATGCAGAATCTAGCAGAGCATCCCTGTCTCTTGTCCTCCATCCTCCTTCCTGTCTGCTCCTGAAGGGCTCTTGAGAACCCCCCTGGCCTCCAGCAGGAGGCAGTCTAGCAGTAAGGCAACTGTGGGCAGAATCCCCACCCCCAGCAAGCACAGTGGTCTGCTCTCTGAAGAAAAGGGAGAGCTTTGCTGAAGTGAAACTCCAGAGTCACACTCTAAAACAGGGGAACCACCATTGACATACAGAGGAAGATCCCAAGCACAGGGGAAGTGCTGGGTTCTGAGGCCATGGCCACGGGAGGAACCTCCAGGACTTTGTAGAAATCCCCTTTGACTGGGGAAACATTTACCTAGATCATCACCCACTAACCACCCCAGTGTTCCTGCTCATGAATTTGTCTTCTTTTAAAGATTCATTTATTTTTTAATTGATATGTATGAGTGGCTTGCCTGTGTTTATGCCTGTGTATTATGTGTGTACAGAACACATACAGGCCAAAAAAAAAAAAGGCATTAGGTCCTCTGGAACTGGAGTTATGGATGTTTGTAAGCAGCCACGTGGATAGTGGGAATGAAACCTTGGTCCTCTGCAAGAGCTACAAGTGTTCTTAGCCTTTGAGCCATCCCTCCAGCCCCTAAGTTGTCATTTCTGGAACATCCGTTATATGCCAGGCATCCTTCTGGTGCTAGGAACGCCAAAAGACTGAAATGGAAGAGCAGCCTAGTGCAGCTGGTGGGTGTGTAAATCAGTACTCTAGTTACTACAACAGGGACATGTGAAAATGTAGAAAATAGAGCAAGACACAGAAGAGGGGTCCTACTCCTCTACTTTTAACGGCTAATTTATTTTTTACTACAGGAATTCATTCGTGTTGGCTGTAAAACATCCCAGGTTTCAGAACTGTGGTATCTCTGCAGTGTTTTCCCTCCCTTCTGGCTCTTCTTGCCCTTCCTCCTCCCTCCTCCCTATTGGTCCTTCTACTTCCTGGTCTTACTTGTTTCCGTGCACGAGAAGAAGCATGCTATATTTGTCTCTCGTTATTTCACTTCAACGTGACGGCGAGCTCCAGTTTCACTCGTTTCCTGAAAAGCCAATGCTTGACTAGAAACTCTTCTTCACAAAGCCCTTCGTGCTCACTTTGATCTCTCCCTCCAAATTTCCCAGACCAGGAATAATAATCCATGTGCCAGCTCTCCTTCAACAACTCATAGGCAGCATAATCAGACGCAGCCCTTTCCCTCAGGCCTGAAAACAGTCTCCACTGACTCCCTGCCCGGAGCTCGAGGGAGCCCAAAAGTCAGAGTAGGTAGTCAAAATGAAACCTTTTGTCCAAGTACCTGATATTACTATTTTGGCCCATTTTGCTACATATTCCCAAAATAGTGACTCCCTTGAGTTATTAATTTCTTTGGAAATTAAATTAAATTCTTTGCTCACAGATTTTACAGAACAAGAGTCCAATGGCTTCCTTTTACTGATGAGGAAAATGACATCTGGAAAGAATACGTGCCAATGATGCATGTCCCTAACAATGACCAAGGAAGCAGGATAAGAAGAGGAAGTAACTAGATGCTTCTCTCCTGTTCTTCCCTTTGTAGGTCTCAATTTCCTGCCTGTTCCACCTGCATGTCATGGGCTGTCTCCCTTTTAAAAATTGCCATGTCCAAGTCTAGTCCGCACTGTCTCAGACTGTCCTCTTCTTTGGAATAGGGTCACTACAGATGTAATTAGCTGAGATAAGAGCACCCTTGAGCAGGGTCAGCTCCTAATCCATCATCGCAGGTGTCCTCACAAGCCAAGAACTCCCTGTAGTAATGAAGAGGGTAAGGAGTACAGGGCTGAAACCCATCAAAGACTCCTAACAATGCCAGAAGCTACACAAACCATGAACCACGTTCTCCCAAGAGCCTCCAAGACAGCAAGGTCCTGCGCCCACCTCTCCCATGGCGTCACCTCATCTTCTGGTGTCTGAATGAGGTCCTGCCTTCCTCTTACCACCTGGGGCTGCTTGCTGCCACCTCCAAGACTGCCTGTCTCCCACACCTGTCAGAGCCACCTTTCCTGCCAGAGCCCTGCAAGGATCCCCTCTCACATGAAGCTACCCCAGAATTTGGTTGTTTCAGTTGTTTGTTTATTGATTCTTGCCGATTTCTAATTCCTTTTTTTTTTTTTCTTCCAAGACAGGGTCTCAACTATATAGCTCTTGGCTGTCCTGAAAAATCACTATGTAGAATAGGCTGGCCTCAAACTCACAGAGATCTGCTTGCCTCTGCCTCCTGAGTGTTGGATTAAAGGCGTGTATACCATCACCACTGCTGGACTATTTTGTCAATTCCTCTTCCTTTTGGTAGGGTGGGGGGAGGTTCGAGACAGGGTTTCACTGTGTAGCCTGGCTGTCCTGGAGCTCGCTCTGTAAACCAGGCTGGTCTTGAACTCAGAGACATCCTCCTGCCTCTAATGCTGGGATTAAAGGCATACACAGCCACCACTGGGTGTATTTTGCCGATTCTTAACCTGCCTCTTCAGTGTCACTGATATCACGCTTCTTAATAGAGTTTGTGTGCTTCCTGCATTCTATGTGCTGTCACATTTATAAATCTTATTTTTCAAATTGGCTCCTGGGAACTTTAGAACTGGCACTGATGTAGAAGAAACTTGAGTGTCAGAACTGATGCTTATAAAGGTTTACCGATAGATTTGCTTAAGTCACTAAAACATTAAGTCACCCAAAGTAGAATTTAGCTAAGGGGGCCACTGCCTCCAAAATACACCAAAGATAAGAAGAATGCTAACCAGGTCTGTTTGAGATCAGTGAAAGTTAGGATGCTAGGATGCTGATGTTTGTTTACCAAGACGGAGCCCCAATTAGGATCCATTCCCATAACAAAAGGAGAAAACTCTGAATTACAAATGGCCATGAGGCTCATCTCCATATCAAAGAGCATGACTTTAAGGGTGGCTCAAGGGGGCTGCACAGACTCACAACCATCATTAGGTCCTGGCCTGCCAGTAAGTCCCCTGTGCTCTTCTCCAGAAAAGCATAATTCTTCCCAGTGGGCAAGACAACCCCAGGTAACAACTATAAGTACAACACTGCTATACTTAAATAATTCTGGCAATATCTTTGCTGTGTAAATCTCCCATCTGCCCAAGCGGCCAGACTTGCAGTCTCGTGACTCTGTTTAAATCATTCAAAGTGTGACCTGGAACTGGACCTAAATGTAAGGATGACAGTGTGTGTGGAATGCACAAGCCTAAGGTGTGTGTGTTACTAAAACCATCTATTCATGGCCTGCTCCTCTATGAGCATTAGCCAGAGCTGGACACATGCTATGCTGAAAAAGCTTTTCCCCCTCTATTAATCTATTAAGTATGCAGAGTGATTTCTCACTGAGAAGGCATATTAATATTAATTCTAGAATAATATCAGTTACTTCTTGGGATCGATTCATACCCTGTAGCAGAGAGTCTTCAGAACTGGTAAACAAGGGAGAAGTGCTTGGGGGGCAAGCCCGCCAGCCAGAGTTCAATCCCCAGAAGCCATGTAAAGGTAGGTAGAAGGAGAAAGCCAACTGCACAAAGTTGTCCCCTGACTCCCCCGTACACACTGTAGCATGTGCATGGCCACATACTAACAAGAAATAACTTTCTAAAAAAGAAAGACAAGAGAAAATGAGTGATTCCCGGTCTGGGATGGGGGTGGGGCATGTTGAAGGCCTGAGCATCTTACCTTTCTTTTAAAAACTCTTCAAATTCTTTGCAGTTCTTGCGGCCATTGTTCAGATGCTGGATGATGCTGTCGTAGCCGACAGTGCTGAGAATGTCCGTGCTCTGGAGGAATGAACAGCATAGCATCAGACTAGGAATCAGCATGAAGAAGGCATGGGGCAGAAGGGGCAGGAAGCCCGCAATGGGACTTTCACTGAATCATTTTTACAAAGATGTGACCCAAGAGAAATCAGAAAAGAAGTAAAAATGAACAGCTGGGGAAAATAGTTAAAATGGTGAAACTGAAGAGCCACCAAACAGAAGGGACAAGACAGAGGAATGAGAGGCTTAAGGATGAGGGGTGAGGCAGACTCAAGTCCCTCTCTAGGCCTCCATTCACACCTAAATCAGGACAGGAGAGACAGGGTGTTGTGTGCTCCTTCAAATCGCTTGTCAGAAACTGCCTCGGGCTACCAGGTGGTGGTAGTGCATGCCTTTAATCCCAGCACTTGGGAGGCAGGTGGATCTCTGTGAGTTTGAGGCCAGCCTAGTCTACAGAGTAAATTCCAGCATAGCCAGGACTACACAGAGTATGGTAATTTGAATGTAATTAGCCCCCATAATCTCATAGGGAGTGGCATTCTTAAGAGGTATGGCTTTGTGGAGTAGGTGTGGCCTTGTTGGAAGAAATGTGTCACTGTGGGGATGGGCTTTGAGATTTCCTATGCTCAAGATACGGCCCAGTGTCTGAGTCTACTTCCTGTTTAATTTTTAATTGCATTAGTAAATACAATCTGAAGATCTGGCAATTACCCAACAAGAGCATGACATCGCAGGGAAAATCTGTGATGTGCCAATAGTCTCTTCCTGGTCCATGGCATTCCCTGGAGAATCTACCAAATTTGGCCCCTACTCTTGTCCCATAAGTCTGAGGAGGCAGTCAAGCACAGAGAAGCAGCTCCTCTCAAAACTAAAATGAAGTACCCATATGTAGGACCAAGTGGGGGGGGGGGGGAGAGAGAGAGAGAGAGAGAGAGAGAGAGAGAGAGAGAGAGAGAGAGGGAGAGAGAGAGAGGGAGAGAGAGAGAGAGGCTACAGGCCCATTTTAATCAGGGGCTAAACAACATTCAGTTTGTCCTTAATCCTGCCACCAAAGACCCTGACATCTCCTCCCACAGCCAGTTAGCCCTCTTGAAGAACTGTGGAATAGCCACAAGAGGGAAGCGGTCCTGAACCACAAGGAAGAGTGAGAAGGCAAGGCCCAGAGTGGAAGAAAGCGGTCACTGGCCCGACAGGATCATGAATGGAGTCTGGGCCAGCACTGCTGCACATGGTTCCTGACCCCAGTTTGGGGAAAAGAATATTCAATTTTTAATTAGCAACCTCACTACCCCCTCTTCAATACAGTATTTACATTATCCTTTGCAAAATCCAAAGCCAGTCTTTCAACTCTCACGTGTTCTGGGAGTCTTTTCTGGGTAGCCCAGTTCCCTCTTCTAAATTCTCAGAATTTGGTGCTCCCCACTGCTCACACAGATTTCTGTCCCAACTCTATTGAACGTGCCTAGAGCTTCATGCAACACTGTCACCACCCCTGCACCCCTCACAGATAAACCTCCCTTGATGTCATGCACCTCAGGGGCCTACAGCAGAAATGTGCAGGGTGAGATGTCTCCCACCCAAATACATAAGAACAGAACAAGGAAGCAAAGCCCCCAGGGAAGTGAACAAAGGCATGTAAAGGCTCATTGTCAAAGTCATTTTGTAGACAGATGTCTCCGTTCCTACGCATCAAGAATGCTAGACTTCTCTGTTCTATGACATCAGGGAGGTGGTTTCCCTCTTCTTAATTAACAACACAGATAGTTTAGGTCTGGTGGGGCAAGAAAGCTAGAACAGAGTTTCCTGAAAACACAGGCCTCCCAGCTGCCAGTCTCAAAAACAAAACAGAGCGGCCGCCCAGTCACTCTGAATCAGTGAAGAAAGGAATGCCAGTAAGAAATAACTAAGAAAAGAAATTCTCAGAAAAAGCAAAGCACCTAGCACCAGGTCCACAGTGGCGGAGGGCATGAGCACTAACCTGAAGGACGGAAATAAGAGCGGGAGGGCGAAGCCACACAGAGGAATGCACACTCAGCCCAAGATACAGCAAGACACCCGGCACCAAGGGAGAGAGCTCAGTGGGCAAAACCCCCGCTTCACACCAAAGTGTCAAGCACGGAGTTCGGTCCAGGCACCCACATAAAAGTTAGGGGTCGCAGCGCGTGCTCATAATCCCAGCCCTGGGGAGGCAGAGACAAGCAGCTCCCTGGTGGAGCTTGCTGGCTAGCAAGCCTAGACTACTCAGCAAGCTCCAGTGAGAGACCATCCAGCGAGAGATTGTCTCAAAAAACAAGGTAGACAGCTCCTGAGGGAGACCGCCAGAGGCTGGCCGCCGGCCTCTATACACACCTGCACCTGCGTGTCCACAAAGACAGAGACGGGGGAGGAGCGGAGGACAGAGAAGGGGGGAGGAGCGGAGGGACAGAGAAGGGGGAGGAGCGGAGGGACAGAGAAGGGGGGAGGAGCGGAGGGACAGAGAAGGGGGGAGGAGCGGAGGGACAGAGAAGGGGAGAGAAGGGAAGGAGGAGAAGGTTGGCAGAAATAAAAACATAGCTAGTGGGACTAGGGGGATAGCTCGGAGGTTACTTGCTTGCACACACACACACATTAAAAACAATTTTTAAAATAAATGTAAATATATAAATAGCAAAATAAAGGAGAAATTTTTAAGACAACATCGCTATCTGCCATTAGAAGTGGGAATGACAAACCCTTGACCCTAATCCTCAGAGTCAGAATCAGAGGCTTCTATGCAAATCCACACCTCCCCTCTCCTAGCCTCTCCCACAAGGGTCTCCTCTCCCATCTCCAGGAGGAACAATGCACATTGCTACCCCAAGACCTTTCTGAATACTATTCCTTTAGTGGGAAGGGTATGTCTTCCTTCTTCACTTAAATCCTACCTCTGCTTCAGAGCCCGTTCAAATCCCATTTCTTCTCTGAACGGCATCTTCCTGGAAGAATTTACTGTCCTCGGAGTGTTTACTGTCGCTCGGCTATCAGCATATACTGTTTTGTGTCATGAGCTATCTTTTTATTTTGTTTTGTTTTTTTGTTTTCTTTCTTTCTTTTGAGACCAGGTCTCATAAAACTGATTGATCTAATTTACTACATCATAGCCAAGTATGGCCCTCAACTTCTGATCTTTCTGCCTCAACCTCCCAAATGCTGGGATTACAGCCACCACACCAGGTTTATATGGTACTGGGATTCCAGTCACCACACCAGGTTTATATGGTACTGGGATTACAGTCATCACACCTGGTTTATACAGTACTGGGATTCCAGCCATCACACCTGGTTTATATAGTACTGGGATTCCAGCCATCACACCAGGTTTATATAGTACTGGGATTCCAGCCATCACACCAGGTTTATATAGTACTGGATTACAGTCATCACACCTGGTTTATACAGTACTGGGATTCCAGCCATCACACCTGGTTTATATAGTACTGGGATTACAGTCATCACACCAGGTTTATATAGTACTGGGATTCCAGCCATCACACCTGGTTTATATGGTACTGGGATTCCAGTCATCACACCAGGTTTATATAGTACTGGGTTACAGCCATCACACCCGGTTTATATGGTACTGGGATTCCAGTCATCACACCAGGTTTATATAGTACTGGGATTCCAGCCATCACACCTGGTTTATATGGTACTGGGATTCCAGTCATCACACCAGGTTTATATAGTACTGGGTTACAGCCATCACACCTGGTTTATATGGTACTGGGATTCCAGTCATCACACCTGGTTTATATAGTACTGGGATTCCAGTCATCACACCAGGTTTATATAGTACTGGGATTCCAGCCATCACACCTGGTTTATATGGTACTGGGATTCCAGTCATCACACCAGGTTTATATAGTACTGGGTTACAGCCATCACACCTGGTTTATATGGTACTGGGATTCCAGTCATCACACCAGGTTTATATAGTACTGGGATTCCAGCCATCACACCTGGTTTATATGGTACTGGGATTCCAGTCATCACACCAGGTTTATATAGTACTGGGTTACAGCCATCACACCTGGTTTATATGGTACTGGGATTCCAGTCATCACACCTGGTTTATATAGTACTGGGATTCCAGCCATCACACCAGGTTTATATAGTACTGGATTACAGCCACCACACCAGGTTTATATGGTACTGGGATTCCAGCCATCACACCAGGTTTATATAGTACTGGGATTCCAGCCATCACACCTGGTTTATATGGTACTGGGATTCCAGCCATCACACCAGGTTTATATAGTACTGGATTCCAGTCATCACACCTGGTTTATACAGTACTGGGATTCCAGCCATCACACCTGGTTTATATAGTACTGGATTCCAGCCATCACACCAGGTTTATATAGTACTGGGATTCCAGCCATCACACCAGGTTTATATAGTACTGGATTACAGCCATCACACCAGGTTTATATAGTACTGGGTTACAGCCATCACACCAGGTTTATATAGTACTGGGATTCCAGCCATCACACCTGGTTTATATAGTACTGGGATTCCAGCCATCACACCTGGTTTATATAGTACTGGATTACAGCCACCACACCAGGTTTATATAGTACTGGATTACAGCCACCACACCAGGTTTATATAGTACTGGATTACAGCCATCACACCAGGTTTATATAGTACTGGATTACAGTCATCACACCTGGTTTATATAGTACTGGATTACAGTCATCACACCTGGTTTATATAGTACTGGATTACAGTCATCACACCTGGTTTATATAGTACTGGGATTCCAGCCATCACACCTGGTTTATATAGTACTGGATTACAGTCATCACACCTGGTTTATACAGTACTGGGATTCCAGCCATCACACCTGGTTTATATAGTACTGGGATTCCAGCCATCACACCAGGTTTATATAGTACTGGGATTCCAGCCATCACACCTGGTTTATATAGTACTGGATTACAGTCATCACACCAGGTTTATATAGTACTGGATTACAGTCATCACACCTGGTTTATACAGTA